GCCGCCCGCCGCGCCCCCGCGCCGGGATCTCGCTCCCCACGCGCCCCTGGCCCCCCACTGGCGCTCTCAGCGCCCTCTCCACCCCCCAGCTGCGTTTCCCTGCCCACGCCCCTCGTGGGGACCCCCTGCCAGCCCGGAACTCTTCTCTCCAGCCGCTAGACCCATCACTCACTTCTGGCACTGCCTTCCACAGTGTACCCCGACTCTCATTGTCCTTTCCGGCTCCCAAGACTCGGACCTTGACCCCCTGTCCATGCCCTCAAGGCTCCCAACTCAGGCACCAGGCCAATCTCTCCAGGGCCTCAGAGCCGGAATTTTTGCCCGCCCGGACCCTGCACCTCTCCCGTTCTGATTTTCAGACCTTTCTGAGTCTCTCTGACCATTCCTTTATCGGAGCGCCCAATCTAAGGCCCAAACCTACCCTTGACTCGCACGCCTGCCTTGGTTTCCCCGGATTCACAGCGGGACGCAGGCCCTGCAGCCCGCAGACGACACTCCAACCCCAGACCATCCCTCTGGCCTGTCTGCTGAGTCCCCCTGTTCGTGTGCCCGTCTAGGGTTCTAATCTTCACCCCTCTTGGAGTCCCAGTCTGTCCTTGGTCCCCTCCATACTCTGGCCTTAGGTCCAGCCATTCACACACCACCACCCCCATCCCCACTCTTTGCTACTCTCTCCAGTCCTCAGGGGCCGTCTCACCCACTCCCACCTCCTCCACTCTCCAGACCCCCTCCTCCCTCGAGCGGTTCTTACCCCTCTGAGGTCACCTGACCTGGGGCCGACTTGAGGGGCAGTGCAGGCTCTGCCCCATCATGTAGCCCCTCTTTCACCCCACGACAGCCCCTCCCTGGGCCTCCAGCCTCCAGCTGCCCTCTCCCCAGATTCTGTGAGCACTTTCCCCCACCCCCAGGACTACAGGTATCCCTCCTTATTTGTTGGGGAGAGGTCTGGGGCACCTCACAAATGCGCTCCCCACCCCCGTTCGGCTGGGCCTCTCCAGTTATTTATTTGTGTATTTATTTATTTATCTATTTATTATTCTATTTAAGCTTATGGCCTCACCCAGGGACGGTTTGGCTTCCCCAGCTGGACTGGGAGGTCAGGGAGCCAGGCAAGGAGAGGGCACAGTGAAGGCCATAGAGGGCTGTTCCCCCTACACACCCGGCTTGGAGTGAGGGAGAAGCCTCCCTCACCAGAGCCTGAAGTCGCTGGGGAGTGGGCACGACAATGGGAGGGATGGCTTGCTGACCCTCACTGGGAGATGGGGGGGCAGGCGGCGTCAAGAAGGTCCAGTCACGGGGCAGGTCCCCGCCCTCCTGAGCCTTCCACTCCCATTCCAGGGAGACCGAGAGAGGAGCCTCCTCGATTTGTTTCCTATTTATTCCTCTTCTCGAGGGACCCCAGGTTCCAGGGACCGACTGAGCCCCGGACCCCGCTGGGGCCTCCTGCCCGCTCCCGCTCCGCTCCCCGGGAGGAGCGCTCCCTCCCGGCCACGTCTATGCAACTCTCCCGGGCAGAGGGGCCGGGGCTGCCAGCCGCCCCCGTTGGCCGCCACTACCTCCCCCGCCGCGCTTTTGCATGCCCGGGCGAGGACCGAAGCACACACCTCCACGCTCACGGGCCCTGGTTCCCTCTGCTTTAAGCACATGCCTCTGCCCCATCGCTAGGCGCCGAGCTCAGGGGCAGGAGTCCTGGCCTCTCCGACCCTCGCCCTTTCCCCCTAGCCACAAAGGAGGGCGGAGGCTGGAGGGGCGCCTGGAGCAGGGGAACTTCTCTAGGGCTTCTCAGCTCCAGGCCCACCTGGGAAGGCAGGCGGCAGGGATAGGGGGATCCCGGGAGAGGGGTCGCAGAAGCAATTACGGAGGGTGTTGACCCTGTAAATAGGAACTTCCGACAGCAATAATTTTCCATGCATGCTAAGCCTTTTGGCCATATTTTGTATGAGCGCTTGGCGCTCCCCTTCCTTCTTCTTCCCCCATTTCCCGCCCCAGACCCCCATCCCTTCCTCACCTCCAGCAGTATTACTTGTAACGCAATTCAGGGATATTAAAGGGACTTTGGCCACTCAACAATGCCTCTAGACCTTGTGATGGGGGTGGGGGGAGGCGGAGAGGAGGGCATCTGAGAGGCAGCCGGATTTTTTCCACTCCATTTCCCTCCCTGTAGCCTAACCAGTCTGTAGCTGCCACTAGGGGTCACACAGCTCCAGGGGGCCCTTGGCATCCACAAGCTCCCAGGCATCCTCAGTCCTAAATGTTCCTCAGATATTGGGGTCACAAACTCAAAGAGTTCAAAAACCAGATTAATTACATAAGTGAATAAAACAGGTTGCCTTTGGACATTAGGGAATGGTGGAGCCTGTGACTAACAGGAAAGAGGGTGTCTCACCTTAAAGAATTGCAATTCAAATTAACGACACCTGCCAAACAAATACAGCTGTGGGCCAGATTTGTCTCTTGACTGCCAGTTTACAACCCCGGTATTCTTCCCCACTTCATCCCCTGCTGCTCTGGCCGGGTTTCTGGCCAGCCTACCAGTCATACATGCAGCAAGTCTATGCATGCAAAACAGTGAGCTGACCCTACAGCTCGTGAGCTCCCTGTCACCAGAAGTGTCCAGGAAGACGTTGGACAACCAATCCATCCTCCTAGCCAGCTGCCCTGGTGACCTTTCAAAATACAAATCTGCCCTTGCCTTACTAAAAACTTCACTGGGGACCACTAACACCATGCCACTTAACTCCAAACCCCCAAATCAGACTCGCCGAGAGGTGGGGCTCGCACGCTTGGAGGGCTGGATGCTAGGCTGTGGGGTGGGGGCTGCAGGCTGAACCGCACATCCCCTGGGGCCACCTTTTGAGTTTCCTCCTCTTGTAGGCAATGCACTCAATGTTCAGACCCTCACCCTAGTGCCTGTCTGCCTTTCCCTTTGCACACCTCTGGGCGGGAGGCTGCACCCTGAGCAATGTGCTAGGTGTCTCCAGCAACAACAACAGTGTGGGAACACCCACAAAGTCTCCAGTGGGGTTGGAGGGGCCCAGGCACCGGAGGCCTTCCCTAGCCATCCATACACAGGCCTTTGTGGCTACACACGGCTCCTGATTCGCTGTTCATCTATTACATTTGTTTCAGGTCCAAGAGACAGAATTCACTCTAGGTCCGCATTTTATAAACATCTAATTCCCTGTATTAAATTCCATTGACTCAGCAAGTATTTAACACAGGGAACTGGCTGCTGACAAAATCGTTAGAAGGACTTAAGGGATGAGCCCTCAGCTGGACCCCCAGAACATCATCACAGAACTGGGACACCAGAGGAACTGCTGCCTCTTCCACAACCAGCCAGCGGGCCAGGAGGCTCCCTGGAACTACTGAGTTCAAGAACACAGCACCATAAGGTGTGACTCAGGCATCAGGAGGCCCCTGCCCCTGCCCCTATAACTGTCCCCCATCTCCCACTATGCTGGTGGCTTGACGACGGAACACTGTTATAGAAAAACTTAGTGCCTCCATGACCATCTTGCCAGTAGCAGGAGACAGGTAATAAGAAACCAGCCCCTGGCCACTTCTGCCATCCCAGTTCCACAGAGGTGCAGCTGGCAGAAGCTAAATCACTGTTAGTATCCTTGCTGCAAGGAAGTCCGAGTAACGCAGTTTTTAACTCTTCAAATGCAGTACAGAAGGCAGCCTAGAGGGAGATGGGAATGGAGGCTGCATTGACTATTATCTGTCATTCACCCATCTCTCCCTCCTTGATTGGCAGCCATGCAATTTGGGGACAGAACATCAGCTTAAGGGGTGGTCTTGACTGGTCGAAGAGAAATCATATCCCCCATGGGTTGAGAAATGGGTATATGACTCAGTTCTGGCCAATGAGACTTACGGAAAGGTTCGCTGGAAGCTTATGGGAAACTTCACTTCTTCTCTTTTAAGAGAAAGGAAGGCAAGTCTCTCTCCCCCTGAACGTGAACGAGGGAGCGTGTCGCCTTGTGACCATGAAGGGAACCAGCCTGAGCATGAAGCCCACACCCTGGATGGCAGAGCAGAGAGATGGAAAGGGCCCAGGTCCCTGATGATGTCAGGGAGCCACCGACAAAAATGCCCTGAACGCACTCAATATGCTGCCTCTAGGCTTCACGGTCTGTGACAAGAGTGTCTTCTTTGTGTAAGTCGGTTGAATCAGGTCTCTGTTCCCTGCAGCCCGGAGCACCTCAACTGGCACATGGATCCAGTCTGCTTTTCACGAGTCTCTCAGAGGAAGACCTCCGCGGCGCGGCTTTCCAGTCTCCTCACACCTGTCGGGCTGCTCCACCCAGCAACTTTGCAGACGCATCTTCCCATACCCAAGGAAGGAACCCACTTCCTGTTCCT